CTGCTCCCACTAGCAAGAATTGCGGAACTAGCCAAAATACAGTCAATGGAATTGTAGCATTTGCATCATTGGTCAATCCATGCAAATGTGCCACTTTTAGCCTCTTAACCTCGGTTAGGGCAGCGGCTATCATGGCCAAAATTGAAAGAACTAACCCTGTGAAAATTCTTTGTAATGGGGTAAGTCCATGAGGTTTATTCATGAAACGACGACAAATTGGAACGATAATCCTATCGTAGAAAATTACGGTCAAGAGTATACTTCCGACGAAAAATACTGTGAGTGAAGCAGGTGGAATTTCAAAGGTTGCAATGTGACGATCCATTGTTGTAGCTTGTGACACTGAAAATGTTGTCATTTGTGCATAGACAGTCCAGAACATAATAGTTGTGGCCCAAGTTGGTAACATTCTGATTAATAATTTTACTTCTTCAACATCGGTTAACGTTGCTAATTTCCACTTGTTAATTACAACGTTAGTGCCATTAGATTCAAGGTCATGATCTTCCTTAATTGCTGCCTTGTCCAAGAATCTGCAAAAATAAGACAAACACATGGTCAAAACTATGACCTACGTATATTGGCGGAACCAATATTTGATGTTCAAACGGCTCGTTTGGTACGAGAAATAAGAGATAATTAATCACGAGACTATAGTGGTATTTTATCCCTATGGGGGGTGGGATAATAACTCCGGGATAATTAATCCTGGATAGCTTATTTCTCAACCAAACGACCCCTAAGGGTTTTGAAATTACCATCGAACCTACATGCAATAGTCCTTTAATTCATTGCTATTTTGTTTATTTTTAAAAATATTTATGTGGGGAATGTTGCAAACTTCATTATGTTCTTGAACACAAAAAGGGCCAAGAATATCGAACGAATGACTAAAAAAAAAAAATTTAACTTGTATTCATGCCAAGTCGCTGACACAGTAAAGAATGTTTAAGCACGTTGAATTATTTTCTAAGCAAATAGTTTCACTTGGTATGCACAATTACATATAATTATCTTTTAAGTTATTCGTTTGTCTACTCCGATTGTAGGGGGACCCCCACCCCCACCCCCATACATTCAATAGTTAGTCAAATAACAAAGTATCTCATATAATACTTTATAGGCTGTCCATTTCAAAATGGAAATAATTTAGATATTTAAAAATTGGTTGATAGTTAGCCATCAAAAAACTGGCCAACTATATATGGGGATAAGTTCATAGTTTGGCACCAACTTCTCTTTTGCTTTTTTTTTTTTTTTAATAACTATCACCTACTTTGAATTATTATTTAAAATTGTAAATAATGNTTCTTTTACAAAAGAAGATTAAAAAAAAAAAAAGAGAATCTTTACTGTACAAGATTCAACTAGGGTAATGTCTATTTGTCTAATATCTAGAATTAGGACTCAATCATTCATGACTTGCAAAAAAAAAATAGTTATTAACTAACCTTCTATCATATGTTAAATTATATTAATACTGTAAAAAAACTATACACTATCAGTATGTATAATTTAAGAGCAAAAGGGAAGCCGGGGCACAAGGCATCCACCCCACGTTCACATAGGGTACGGGGAAGGGTCGTACCCAAGAGGTGTGATGTAGATAACATATTCTAATTCAAGCATTAGTGGCTGTCTCCAGGGCTCGAACCCGTGATTTATAGGTCACATGGAGAGAGCTTAAGTATATATTATTTTGATTATCTGAAAAAAGTATAAAAAAAATGAAAGTAAATTCAGGCATTTTGATGAGACAAATTAAAACTCACCGGTACTCCTTGCTATGAGGCAACATTTGCTTCCTTTTTTTATTTCCTTCAACAAAAATATCATCAATTTCAAAGAGAAGTGAAGAATCTGAAGGCAATTCTAAATGCCTTTTTTTCCAAGCAGCCACAATAACTGAAGCAATTTGTGTCAATGGACTGCCCATAAGTTTCTTGAACCTATATTTCCTTGTCCCAAATAAGAACACAACAAGTGCAATAACAATAGCACATGCACATATTCCATAACCCCACTCTCTTCCCAAATTATCTTGAATATACACCAATACTGTAACTGCACCGAGCGAGCCAACATTAATAAAGAAAAAGAACCAATCGAAGAATTTTATCATTTGTCCCTTTTCTTTTTTGTCGGAATCATCGAATTGGTCGGTGCCAAAGCCGGAGACGCTCGATTTTAGGCCGCCAGTGCCGAGCGCCGTCATGTATAGGGCAATGTATAGGACCATGAGTTGTTTGCTATTTGCGGGGATGCATGATGAGCTACCAACTTGTTCACATTTTGGTGGTCGTAGGCTTGGGATAATAGTGGATATGGTCAAGATTGTAACACCCTATTCATCATAACAAATGGAAATTAAATTTGGTTAGAGTTGCAAAAAAACTTCTATACTAACTGTTCATAATAAGTGAAATCAGTAACCTAGGTAATAAGATAGGTAACCTACGAGCAGAAGCGGAGCGCTGAACCCCCTTCATCCGAAAATTATGATATATATAAATAAGGTTAATTTTTTTATGTACCTGTATTAGATGTCGAATATTCTCCTTAGCTTCTTCACGTGTTTACTTTTTAAATTTTTTTGAATCCTAGTGAAATCTTGTTTCTGCCATTGGCTACGACAAGAAATTAATTCAAAATTTTCTTGATATTAAAGTTAAATCTTTTTAATAAATATTATTATTTCTTGAAACTAAATTATATATACTGAAAATATAAAGATTAATTTTTTAATTTTTTTTATATGTATGAGAACTGCAACTAGTGTAAAGAATACATGTTTCTTCCTCCTCTTTCCTCTTTGTACAATCATCATTAGTCTTCTTCTTCCTTGTTCGATTTTCCTCTTCACAACAAATTAATTAGATCAAGGGTCCTTAGTTTTATTTAAGTTTTCTCATTTTCCATTTCCCGAATTTCCTCTTCACATCAATTATAATATGACTGATTTTTGAATGTGATTAGATCAACTTCATCTCCCTCTTGACTCTTACATTTAATTTATGCTATATAGTCTTCCTTGAATATTTCGAATCTCCTCATCACAGATTCTTTAAAAAAGTACATGCATCAATTTCAATCTCACTTATATAAGGAAAAGAATTAACAAAAATTGACACTTACCATTGCTTGAACAGTGGCAAAGATACCAATTGTAAGATACCTGCAAAAATTAAGATAAATAGAAAATATGTTAACAAAAAAAAAAATCCAAATGAAGTTCCAGCATTTAAAGTATGCATGTCCGAATTGTCAGTCAAACTTAAGAAGTTTGACTCTCAAAATCTGAACTGTATTATATGAATTGAGACAGAAAGAGTATAATACACGAACCTTCCGAGGAAAGTGTCGGCGACAAAACCACCAAGTAAAGTGAGCATGAAAGAAGTTCCAAGAAAATTGGTAACGTTGTTGGCTGAAGAAGCATTCCCTAAATGCATAGTTCCAGTCAAATATGTCACCAAGTTTACAGCAATCCCTAGTGTTGTTAGCCTCTCCACAGCTTCAACACCTATAATAAAAAAAACCAAGAACATTATAGGAAAATCAAAGAAAAAAATATCAAAGAATAGAAAGTTTAAAAAAGAAGAGAAGGCAAAGTTTTGTGAGCAAACAAAACCCTATACACACTTAGAGCACTTCTTTCAATATATTCATACTAGACCCGAGTAGGCGGGTCGAGGTCTAACAAAGGTATATACACGTCTAACTGCCAGGTAAAGATGCAAATCAACTCCTTATATAGAACGCGTATCATCACATTCAACGAAGCATTCAATATGGCAGAAGCGTTCAGTATGGTAGACAAACTACTTTCTTATTTTCAGGACATGAAAATCCTCGATCTATTACCCGTATATAGGCAGTTAGACTAGCACTCCCTGCTCAATCAATATCGCAATATTGGGTTGTTCTCTGATTCTACCAGAAACGATATAATACTTACTCACAAGACTATCTCTTCCCGTCTAATCTCGCCATTTTTTCTTGTTAAAGCCACCTTGAGATGGCGGGGGTTTGACATGGACTCCTACCTTGTCTAATCCCGCCATTTAACGTGACGGTTTAATTTGAGAGAGAGGGAGAAAGGGAGAAAGAGAGAGAGAGAGAGTCACACCTAAAATCATTGCACCACTAGCCCAGCCACCAGAGGAGGATCTAAGAGCTGGTCTTCCTTTGTAATCCCAAGCATCTGGTAAAGCTTTTGAATCTTGCTGTGTCTCAGGAAGTGCCATTTTAGCAACTTTTTCTTGCACTTTTGCCCACAAAATTGGACCCAATAAGCAATGAGAAAAAAAGGTTAATATGGAAAAACTAGAAGAAGATTGCAGATTCAATTGATTCCATTACCCTTTTATAGCCATGGCCTAGAGGCAACTCAATTGCATTTTTAACCATTTTTTAATACACAAAAATATTTTATTCCACATGGTCCACTTTCAATGGCAGTAGCAACTCCCCAGGATAGTCTTTCCTTTTTCGCTTTTTTTTGTTGGATGAGAAGTTGTCCCAGCATCAAATGCTACAGGAAATGATTGACTGTAATTTGACTAACTTCTATTCTTCTTTATGCACATGAATCCTTACTCTAATTACCTTGTAAAAGTTAATTTGGCAGACCCTAAGTATTGTTTTACCATTTTAATTTAATAATCGTTGGATTACCTTTTTTTTTTGTTGTATACTATTGACTGTGATAAATCTAACCAAAGTGACATGATGAGTGAAGATTCATATAGCCGACTCAAATTTACTTGGGATTGAGCTGCAATGATAATTATTATTATTGATTTGGTATTCTAAATGATAATAAAAGTTGTACCTAAATAAAGACCAATGATAAATAAAAGTCACAAGTGTATCTATTATCTAAATAATGGTAGTGCGGTGCATAAAGCATTCCGCGTTCACTCAAGATTCGGGGAAGGATCGCACTCTAAGGGGGTCTGATGTAGGTAGCCTACTCTGATAGTAGTATATGTTATCTATTGCTCGTAATCAACCAAGCTAGTGGAAAAAAATATATTTTTCACCACGATATTCGTCACGGGGAATCGCCTAATTTAGATTCACGCCCATAAAAGAGGGACGCGTTCCATATCAAAATTTTTCTATGCCCGGGACTCGAGCCTAAGGCCTAAGAAGACTCATTGTTGCAACCATGCATATCACAAGATTTTGTAGACTTATCGGAATCTTGAGAGTTAATGTAGCCATCAATAATGGGTGATGGGTATCAACAACAGAACATGCAATATAATTTCCTTTACATTTGTATACAGAATAGTAACTTTTCTGGCCCCAGGAAATTTGCAACTATATGATTATTTGTTGCTTAGCGATTAAATGGCCTAAAGGCTAAAGTTGTTGTGTAGAATTAATTGCATGGCCAATACATAAACAAAACGTTCTAAGCATTATATTCATAGTTCCTTATTGATTTAATCAAGAAAATATTAATTAAGTGAGCTATTTAAAAAGAAATAAATAGTAGTTTAAATTTTAATTTTTTGACTTTTTGACCAAATTTATCGAACGTTTTTTCTGACTAGCCTTTTTGCGACGGACAAAAATCATTTTGAATGGCGTCGAGAATCTAGTAAATGGTACCAACAAGAATTGAAGTGGAATTGTAAGTACTCTTTCATCCTTATCCAGGATTTCGGGTTCGAGCCCTGGATATGGAGTTGCCCGTCCAGGCAGACTAAACATAAGCCATGTTTAGAGAACGAGAGTAGCTTCAACTGGTGAAATTCATATCTCTAGCCGCTTTTTCTAGAAAGTAATCATTTAAACCAAATATAATACACTGAACCTTGTTTTTCTTAATTTCTGTAGAATTTCCAAATTCCAACCTAATCCAACTCTTTTTTTTTTCCCAAACAAATGGCGCTTTGACATTTATAAAGGGTTAAAATACACTAACATATGAATAATAGCACGTTATACATGTTGCATTCTTTTCGGTATTTACAAATTCTATAAATTTTAAAAGTATGTGATCATCTTATCAGAAATTTAAATGTCACGACCCCAAAACCAACCCGATCGTGATGGCGCCTATCATGAAATTAGGCCAGCCGACACATTTTCAAAGTAATTCAATATTTCATTTAAAGTTTAAATAACAACCTTTTTTATACTGAAATTACCGTAAAAGGGATAAATTCAAAACCAAATTGCGGAAATAAAAGCCCGACCTCGGGTGTCACTAAGTCATGAACAAATACTACAACTGCGGCGAAATATGACAAGACTAAAATAGTCTGAAAATCAACTACTAATAACTATAGGGATATAGGAGGGAGAAGCCATGCAGCTACCTTGCCAACTCCGAAATATCCGCGGCGGATGAAGATCAACGCTCGCTAGCACGTGCAGCGACCCCTAGATCTGCACACAAGGTGTAGGGAGTAATGTGAGTACGTCAACTCAGTAAGTAATAAAGGTAAATAAAGTGATGAAAATCATAACGGCCCCTCGGGCAAAATATAGTTCATAAACAGCCCCTCGGGCAACAGGATCATAAACCGCCCCTCGGGCATAACATCACTCAGAATCAGCCCCTCGAGCAACCTCACAATCACTCGTAAACAGCCCCTCAGACACAACATGAATCAAGAACAGCCCCTCGGGCATTACATCATATCACTCACTCAGGGTACCCGCGCTCACTAGGGGTGTGCAAACTCCGGAGGGGCTCCTACAGCCCAAGCGCTATAACAAGCCACCTCGTGGCATAATAAGTCAGGCCCTCGGCCTCTCAAAATCACAAATCAGTAATAACATGTTGCGGCGTGCAACTCGCTTCCATAATATCCTTACAACACAGGCCATCGGCCTCACTCAGTCAGAAACCTCTCAAGCCACTCGGGCTATCAGTAAAATAGGGTGCTTAGCCCAAAATATCATTTTATGCACTAAAACGGAGTAATAAAAATTGAGTTATAAAATCAGTAAAATATACCATGAGTGAGTACAGATCTTAAATCAAAACAGTGAGGAAATAATAAGAAAACGCCCCCAAGTGTCCAAACAGCTTGGCAGAGTCCAAATATGGCATTCAGCCCAAATTATAGAAATTCTTTCTAAAACACATAAGTTTCAAGTTTCCAGTCAAATACGCAACTTAATAGTTGCTATAGGACGGACCAAGTCACCATCCCCAACGGTGCACGCCCACACGCTCGTCATCTAGCATGTGCGTCACCTCAAAATAGTGAAACGATGTGTAATCCGGGGCTTCATACCCTCAGGACAAGATTTACAATCATTACTTACCTCGAACCGGTCAAATCCCTACTCCGCGACGCCCTTGCCTCTAGAATCGGCCTCCAAACGTCCCGAGTCTAACCAAAAGCAATACAATGCAATCATTAAAGGCCAATGAACCAAATCCATACAAAAAATCATCAAATTATACAAAAATCCCGAAATTCATCCAAACCCGGCCCCGGGACTACGTCTTGGAATCTGACAAAAATTACAAAACTAGAAACTTCTTTCACTCCCGAGTCTATACATACCAAAATCATCAAAATCCAACCTCAAATGGTCCCTCAAATCCTCAATTTAAACTCACTAATTCCAAGCCGTAATCCCTTCAATTTCACCCCAAATTCCCACTAATTTCCTAATTAAACAGTAGGAATCATAAACACAAGTAATAAAGCCCAAGAAACTTACCCAACTGATAACCCTCGATTCCTCTTGAAAAGCACTACCCAAAGCTCAAAACCCGCCCAACAATGGTGAAGAATGGGCAAAAAATCGCGAAGGAACCTTTATATACATTCTGTCCAGCATTTCCGCATCTGCGGTCCTTCTACCGCTCCTGCGCAACCGCATCTGCAGTCCAATCAACCGCACCTACAGTTTTCACTTAAACACCCAGGACCGCTTTTGCGCCCCAGGAACCGCACATGCGGGTACGCAGATGGGTCCAACACACCGCATCTGCGGTTTCTCCTCTTGGACCTCAAAGTCCTCATCTGCGGTTTCCTCACCGCATTTGCGACCTCGCACCTGTGGTCCCCAATCCGCAGGTGCGGAAATAACAGAAGCAACAACTTCAGCTGCACCAACTAAATTTCTACTCATCCGTTAACCATCCAAATTCATCCCGAGGCCCTCGGGTCCTCAACCAAAAATACCAACAAGTCACTTATCACCATTCAAACTTACCAAAACCTTCGGAACACTCCAAATAACATTAAAACACCAAATCACCCACGGATTCAAGCCTAAGAACTTCCAAACTTCCGAATTCTGCAAACGATGCCGAAACCTACCAAATCTCCTCCGAATGACCTGAAATTTTGCACACACGTCACAAATGACACTACAGACCTACTTCGACTTCCGGAACTTCATTCCGACCCCGATATCAAAAAAATTCCAATGCCGACCGAGAAATGCCAAATTTCCAATTCTGCCAATCCAAGCCTAAATCTACCACGGACCTCCAAATCACATTCCGGACGCGCTCCCAAGTCCAAAATCACCTAACGGAGCTAACCGAAATATTAGAATTCACATCCGAGATCATCTACACATAAGTCAACTTCCGGTTGACTTTTCCAACTTAAGCCTACTTAAAAGAGACTAAGTAAGTGTCTCAATTCACTCCAAAACCACTCCGAACCCGAACCAACCAACACAATATGATGAAATACAACTGAAGAGCACATAAAGAAGAAGAAATAAGGGAAATGGGGCTATAACTCATGAAATTAATTACCGGCCGAGTCGTTACATCCTCCCCTCTTAAACAAACGTTCGTCCTCGAACGAGTCTAGAAACATGCCTGAAGCCTCAAACAGGTGTGAATATCTGCTCTGTATCTCCCACTCGGTCTCCTAAGTAGCCTCCTCCACGGGCCGACCTCTCCATTGCACTTTTACTGAAGTTATATCCTTTGATCTCAACTTTCAGACCTGCCGCTCCAAAATAGCCACTGGCTCCACATCATAGGTCAAATCACCGTCTAACTGAACCATGCTGAAATCCAAAACACGAGACAGATCGTTAATATACTTCCGGAGCATAGAAACATGAAATACCGGATACACACTCGACAAGCTAGGTGGCAAAGCAAGCTCATAAGCCACCTCCCCAATCCTTCGGAGCACCTCAAAAGGCCCAATGAACCGAGGACTCAATTTTCCCTTCTTCCCAAATCTCATAACACCCTTCATAGGTGAAACCTTCAATAGAACCTTCTCCCTAACCATGAAAGACACATCACGAACCTTTCTGTCAGCATAACTCTTTTGTCTCGACTGGGCTGTACGAAGCCGCTCCTGAATTACTTTCACTTTGTCCAAGGCATCCTGCACCAAGTCTGTACCCAAAAGCCTTGCCTCGCCTGGATCAAACCAACCTACTGGAGATCTACACCGTCTCCCATATAAAGCCTCATATGCAGCCATCTGAATACTCGACTGATAATTGTTGGTATATGCAAACTCCGCGAGCGGTA